CATATCGCCAAAGATTGTGATTGGCGTTATGCTGATGACGCATCCCAAAAGAAAAAAGTTACTGCTATAGTTGATGCATCGTATGGTGTCGATACCAATTGGTACTTAGACACGGGTGCAACCAATCACATCACCGGAGAACTCGATAAGGTGACGATGCAAGAAAAATACCACGGCCACGATCAAATTTACACCGCAGCAAATGGTGCAGGTATGAAGATTAGTCATATTGGTCAATCAATTATCGAAACTCCACATAAAAATCTAGTTCTGAAAGATATCTTGCATGTACCCAATGCTTCCAAAACTCTTCTTTCCGTCCATCGTATTGCTCTTGATAATAATGTATTTCTTGAGTTTCACCCGTTCTTCTTTTTGATCAAGGATCAGGTCACGAAGAGAGTTCTCCATAGGGGTACATGTGTGCAAGGACTCTATGCGTTGCTTCCTCAATATTGTCAGTTCAACAAACAAGTCTATGGTGCCATCAAGCTTTCTGCAGAAAGGTGGCACAGTCGTTTAGGTCATCCCTCGTTTGCTAATGTTCGTCAAATTCTTAGTAAAAATAAACTCCTAGTTGTTGGTGAGCGAAATTTAGAAACTATTTGTGATTCTTGTCAAAGAGCAAAAAGTCCTCAGTTGCCTTATCCTATTTCTACTAGTGTGTCTACTCAGCCATTGCAACTTATTTTCTCTGATGTTTGGGGTCCAGCACCCACCTCCGTTGGTAGACACTCTTACTATGTGAGTTTCATTGATGATTATAGCAAATACACCTGGATATATCTTCTTAAAAAACGATCTGACGTCTTCCAAGTTTTTCATAACTTTCAAGCACTTGTTGAATGAAATTTTGATCGCAAAATCCTTGCCGTGCAATCAGACTGGGGTGGTGAATATGAGAAGCTTAATTCTTTTTTTCAAAAGATAGGAATTTCTCATCACGTGTCCTGCCCGCATGCTCATCAACAAAATGGCTCTGCTGAACGGAAACATCAACACATTGTTGAAGTAGGTCTTGCCCTCCTAGCTTCCACCTCTATGCCTTTAAAATTTTGGGACGAAGCGTTTCTCACGGCAGTACATCTTATCAATATGTGGCCTAGTCGCACTATTGCCAATGAAACCCCCACTGAACGCCTTCTTCACGTCACACCAGATTATAATACACTTCGTGTTTTGGGTGTGCCTGTTGGCCAAACCTTCGTCCCTACAACTCTCGGAAACTTATGTTTCGATCTCAACAGTGTGTCTTTCTTGGTTATAGTGCACAACATAAAGGTGTTAAGTGTCTTGATGTGCCCACCGGTCATGTGTACATCTCCCGTGATGCTGTGTTTGATGAAACTCAATTCCCATTTGCCAAACTCCATCCGAATGCCGGAGCTCTCCTTTGAAAGGAAATACTTCTCCTCCCATCTCATCTTTCCGGCATTACTCCTGTGGAACTCGATGATTGTATTAACTTAAATTTGACTAATTCTTCTAATCTATCTTCTGAGTCTGCTGCTACAGGTGGAGCATGTGCTAAAAACGGGGTCCAAAACGGTGCAATTTCTGCTGAAAATAGTGCTCCGTTGTGCCCTGTAGCTATCGTGATGGAGCCACTGCAATCGTCTTCGGGATCTGCGCTTCCAGTCGTGCCAGTGTCGACAGGATCTACGCCGGGATCCGCTCCTTCGTCCCATCCTACGCCTGCGCCTGCTCCACGCCAATCCCGTGCCAGCCTGCATCGGTCTGCGCCTGGGTCCGACCCGCGGACGCGCTCCACCAACCAACCAGGTTCCCGGCTGAACCTCGGGCCTACACCAGACGGGTCCCATCTGTGGCAACCGCACCGAGCGCGCCCTCCTAGCTGGATTCCGCCCCGCCCGGATCCTCTGTGGCCATCCTGTCTTCTCCTCTGGTTCTGCAGGCTGCAGAAGATCCTGTGCCTGGTTCCTCGGGATCGCCAGGCTCGATCCAGGGGGAGATTGCCGATTCTGCTGATGCTGGTGCATCTGGATCTTCAGCGCCAACGCATGCTGTTGCTACACCACCTCGTACATGTCTCCATGCAGGTGTGATTCAACCTACAAATTATAAAGTTAAATTTGGTTTGGCTGCTTCCACAGGAGAACCCCGCACATATAAGGAAGCTCTTGCTGATCCTAGTTGGAAAAAGGCTATGGAGGATGAATATCATGCTCTTCAGAAGAATAACACGTGGCATTTAGTTCCCTCACGGCAAGGTAAAAATGTGATTGACTGCAAATGGGTGTTCAGGATCAAAACAAGGTTTGATGGCACGATTGATCGTTATAAAGCCAGGCTTGTTGCAAAAGGTTTTAAACAGAGGTATGGCATAGATTATGAAGATACATTCAGTCCTGTTGTTAAGGCTGCTACCATTCGTCTTGTTCTATCCATTGCTGTGTCTAGAGGATGGAGTCTTAGACAGCTAGACGTGCAGAATGCGTTTCTTCATGGTGTTCTGGAAGAGGAAGTGTACATGAAGCAACCTCCTGGGTTTGAGGACAAAAACAAACCGTCTCACATATGCAGGCTTGACAGATCACTCTATGGACTGAAGCAAGCCCCCAGAGCATGGTACTCTAGGTTGAGTACAAAATTGCAACAACTTGGTTTCACTCCTTCAAAATCTGACACATCACTGTTTATTTACAATAAGTTGAACACTTCAGTTTTTGTGCTTATCTATGTTGATGATATTATTGTCACAAGCTCATCTAATGAAGCAGTGACAGCCCTCTTGTCAGATTTGAACTCAGAATTTGCTCTTAAGGATCTTGGTGACTTGCATTTTTTCCTTGGCATTGAGGTCAAGAGAAACAAAGAAGGTGGTCTTCATCTTTCTCAGGAAAAGTATACTACATATCTTTTGAGGACAGCTGGGTTGCAGGGTTGCAAACCTTCCCCAACACATGTGTCTAGTTCAGAGAAACTCACACTTGTTGAAGGAGAACTCTTGAATCAAGAGGATGGCACCAAATATAGAAGTCTGGTGGATGCGCTTCAGTACTTGACTCTCACCAGGCTTGATATCTCCTTTGTAGTAAACAAGGTTTGTCAGTATCTTCATGCACCAACCACTGCTCATTGGACGGCAGCCAAACGTATACTGAGATATGTGAAAAAACACTCCAAGTGTTGGTCTAACCTTCAGTAAGTCACCATCCACTCTTGTTAGTGCCTTCTCTGATTCTGACTGGGCAGGTTGCTTGGATGATAGAAGATCAACTGGTGGCTTTGCAGTGTTCTTTGGTCCCAACTTGATTTCTTTGTGTGCAAAGAAATGGGCCACAGTTTCCAGATCTAGTACTGAAGCAGAATACAAAGCACTTGCCAATACAACAGCAGAAATTATTTGGGTGAAGTCTATGCTTAAGGAACTTGGCATATATAACATTCGGACACCTTGTCTTTGGTGTGACAATCTTGGTGCGACATACTTGTCAGCTAATCCTGTGTTTCATGCACGTACTAAACACATTGAAATTGATTATCACTTTGTGAGGGAAAGAGTTGCCAACAAGGAATTAGACATTTGATTTGTTCACTCGAAGGATCAAGTTGCTGATGGGTTTACAAAGGCACTGGCTACAAGGCCGTTTGAGGAGTTTAAGCGTAATCTAAACTTGCGCAGTTCAGATTAAGGGAGGGTGTTAAACATGTTAATGTGGAGGCATCAAGGGTTCTTGTCTTGCGCCTCACACCTGAATATCTAGGGATAGATCTCCTGTCCTATTACAACTCCCTTTATCCCGGTCTCCTCTCTCTCTCTTGTATTTTGTTCGGTTACAACAATGGACTGCCTTGTACTTCACATTTACAATCTATATAAACATCGCGGGCTCCCGACCAGGGAGTTGAGACGCTTCATTATTGCTTTCAGGAAGGAGACAAGACATTTGGACCATCTAAAATCTTCCTCTCATAAAACTGATCGATTGGAAATGAGCTGATACAAGAACTCATGCGGTACTGTATATTCAGCAAATGCTTTTCAAAATTCAGCATAACCAATCTCTCAAAAAGACTTATTCTGAATCCAGCTTCTTTGCACATCTAGAGGTAAACAATGAAATATAGGATTAATTGTATAAGAACAGATCAATAAAGGCGGAGCAAAAGTTAAGACGTACCCTTTGTTATTTTTCATGAAAAAATTGTCGAAGTATTTTTGCACATAAGCCTATGTTGTGGATATATGCACCGATGTCTAAGAAATAAAACTATATGATATAGAGAGGGCAAGATAAAACCTTACCTGGCTTTTAACCATTGCACTCAGTTGGCAGTCATCTCCTAGCAAAACAGCATGTTTCAACTGATGCAGACGTAGTGGGATCACCAATTCACATTCTCGCACTTGCGTAGCCTCATCGACAATTAACACATCGAGTGGTTCAATCTCCATATGATGCAATCGGTAAGAACTAGAGGTAGTACAGAAAAAAGCACAACATTATGCATACAGTAGCGCTGGACCCAGTTTTTGCCTACTCCAATTGGTAAATTAAGTGAATGCCGAAGATCCTTCAGCAATTTAAGGCATGTGAACCTTACTCCATCTAGTTCCTTTTCAATAAAAGATATCGGCTACACACAAGCTGAGTTTTCACTTGAGAGACCACCAAAGCCCCTTTTTAAGCTCTTGCTAGTTAAATCAATATCACACAGGAGGGCATCGAATTTCTCTAGCATGTTAAACAATGAGGATATATTGCTGATACTATCATGTGAAAAGCACCTACCAGGGAGGTGAATCCACAAATTCTTAATACATCTTTTAAGAGATATTGCTGTCACATTGAATTGACTCTTTAGGACATCCAGATTGCACACGGCATCACTATTTCCATCCTCCTCAAGAAGCCTATCATAATGAGAACCACAGTCTTCAAAAATGATATCATCGAAGTTAGTTTGCACCTCCATCCAGACAACGATGAAAAGCATTCAACAATTTCATTGACACAAAAATCTAAGAAAACTTCCTAAAGATCTCCGGTTATGTTAATCTTATACTTGTTCCCAAATAGCAAGACATCTCCAAGAGAAAAGGGTAGACCATTGTCATCAATTGTTTTGTTGAAATCCTTGAAGTTCTGCAGGAAATGAGTGCAAACCCCAATTACAACAACATTTGTGGGAGCACGTGTTAGAGTTATGCATTTCATAGAAGCCAAAGCCCACAGTAAAGCACTAACAGTGTGGGTCTTTTCAGTACCTGGTATACCTTGTATAAGCTTCATGAGGTTCAGATGCCTACATCTTACAATTGAGATGACAGATTCAATAACATCCATTTGCAATTTATTACGATTCATCGCTAATAGTTGCTCTGTAAAACAAGCCAAATGTTCTCCACCATGTTTAGCACAGATACCACAGACATCACCACCCTACAAAAGAGCCAACAAAGAAGAGCTCAAAAAAGCTAGATACTCCTGGTAATAAAGTATTAAGTAAAACCTAAAGGCAACTATACAAGTCCTATTACCGAATTTGTGGGGGCTAAGAGAGACTCGATCAGTGTGAAATTGTTATTCATGTGCTTGTCAAAGCTCAGTGCTTTCCATATCCACATGTTTTTTATGATATTACCGAGAAATATTGCATATCTGAGCTTTTGTAAGTCTTCTTCCAAGCCAATATCTTTTGCAACCTTGATTTTGAAATGCTTCTGACATTCATCATTATCATCCATGCAAATGTCAGTAACCATTGCCAAGTAATATGTCACTCCATAGCAGCTGAAGTCCTCTGTAGCTTCAGATTTCACGCTAGACAAAATAAACACATCGCCATACCTTACAGTATGAGCCTCCACGGAATAAACCGCCCCATAATCCCCAAAGTCCACATCCATATAGTACACTTCTGGCTTCTGTGTTGCCTCCATAGAAAGTATTTTCGAAGTGGGTCCTTCTACGATGAGTTCAAGGCGTGAGCATAGATTTGACCTTATTTCTTCAATCAGAGGTGCGCGATACGATTTGAGATAGTGGTCAAGTGAGAGGAAGCTGCAAGGAGTAGCCTCAACTTACATAAAAACAGTAAATGGGAATACGGTTAAGGATAGCAAAAATCTAGAATGTAGCAACGTGAAGGCACAAACGGTATGCAACTATGCTAAGAGCATCTCCAACCGCGCCCCCAACAGCCCCCCAGGCGACTTTTTACACGCCGACGCCGAAAAAAACCCCAGTCGCGCCCCCAAGACGGCGAAATCTGCCGGCTCGGCCCGTTTTTGGTCCCGGCGATCGCAGGCCGAACCCGACGCACTGGGGGGCGCTCGGCGGCTCCAGCGCAAGGGAAAAACACGCCAGGGCCACACTGCCAGGCGAAAAGTCAAGCCAACCATCCAGATTCGCCTCCGACCCCCCACGCGCTCGACCGCCACCCTACCGATCCCGGCGCCGCCCACCGCCCAACACCGCTAGATAGGCCATTCCCCGCCGGGAAAGAGAGGAGGCTTCACCACGGCAACCTCTCCACCACCGTCCGGGCGATTTGTCCGGCATTCCGGCCACGTAGGGTGGTGTACCGGCGGGTGTGCGCCCACCACGCCCGCAATGCGTTCCGCAATTTGCCTGCTTGGCAACGGACTCGGACGACAAGGAGGCGCTCACCACGCTGCTGGAAGAGGAAGCCGATGCCGACGTCCAGGGAGAGGAACATCTCATGAGCGGCCCTCGCCAGCCTGCTCGCGAGCAATGAAAAGCTGCGGTGAGGTGGCTCGGTGCCGGGGCAGATGAAAGCAAAGAACCGACATCATCTGGAAGGCTACTGCATGCTCTATTCTGACTACTTCATCGACGCTCCATTGCGTGACGACAAAGTATTTCGGCGCCGTTATCGGTTGAGCTGAAAGCTTTTCCTCAGGATTGTGAATTCCATCCGGGAGTTCGACAGCTACTTCAAGTGCAAGAAGGATTGCACTGGCAAACTTGGATTCACCTCAATCCAGAAGTGCACGACAGCAATGAGGATGCTTGCATACGGAGCTCCCGGTGATTCACTCGACGACTATGGGCGCATGGCCGAGTCCACGACCATTGAGTGTTTCTACAAGTTCTGCAGGGCAGTGGTGGCAGTTTTTGGACCGTAATACTTGTGAATACCCAATGCGGAAGACACTACTCGGATCTTAGCACCGAATGCAGCAAGAGGATTTCCTGGGCTGCTTGGAAGCATCGACTGCATGCATTAGAAATGGAAGAACTTCCCATTTGCTTGGAAGGGGATGTACAAAGGCGCCAAAGGCGGTTGCGGTGTGGTACTTGAGGCGGTGGCCACACAGGACCTCTGGATTTGGCACTCCTTCTTTGGTATGACAGGAACTCACAATGACATCAACGTGCTGCAGTGCTCTCCTGTCTTTGCCAAGCTTGTTGAAGGTCATTCTCCTTTGGTGAACTTCGAGGTCAATGGACGGCACTACAACAAGGGGTACTACCTAGCTGATGGCATCTATCCGAGATGGTCTACATTTGTGAAGACTATCTCAAACGTTGTGCCAGGAGGCAAGAAGTCCCACTTTGCCAAGGTTCGGGAGGCTTGCAGGAAGGATGTCAAGCGGGCATTTGGTGTGCTCCAATCTCGATTTGCTGTTGTCCGGTATCCTACTCAGACCTGGTCAAAAGATCAGATGTGGGAGATCATGACTTGCTGTGTCATCTTGCACAATATGATCATTGAGAGCGAGCAGGAAGAGCCAGTATTTGACACTTAACCATACTATAGGCAGGGTCCTCAACCTGGACTGCCTACCTCAATATGTGTCAGGAGATCCGAGACCCACAGGTGCATCAACAACTGCAGCAGGATCTAGTGGAGCACCTATCGAGGCTCAAGGGTGACGCCTAGCTCGACGTGTGATGAAATATGAGTTTTTATTTGTTGAACTATATAATTTGTATTGAACTATTTGTTGTTGAACTATTTGTTGAACTATTTGATTGCTATAAATTTTCTGTCATGAACTATGTGATAAAAAAATTAGTTATTATGTTGAGAATTCAAGCCCCCAACGCCGATTATACCACCGGCTCGCGCTGATATGGGCTGATTCACGCCGATACCGGGCCGATTCGCGCCGATATCGAGCCGATTTGTGCCGATATCGGGCCATTTATCACCAAAAGTGGGCCGAAAAGCGGGCACATTTGCGCCAAAAATGTGCCGATATCGGTGCCTGGGGGCGACGGGTGGGTGCCCAACCGCCCCCAGCGCCGATTATAACGCCGACTCGCCCCCAGGCAACGATTTTTACGCCTCCTAGAGGAGCCAACGGCTGGAGATGCTCTAAGAGACCAACTGTGCGGCCAAATACAGAGATGAGGCTCTTGGCTACCATATGACATGTCTCTAGCATTTTAACTTCTGAGTAAATTAATAAAACTAAATGGCATCATAATATTAGGTGGCATTACTTACAGACCTAACATCTGCCAACATTCTTTTAGAACTTAATATCTCATAATAGTGTTATCTAAAGTATTCTGAAACACCGGTATATTTGGAAGAATTTTTTTAAAAAAGGAGGATAACCCCGACCTCGGGTTCGGCTCACCTGCAGGAAATACTGTGCAGGGCCAATATTAGACCGCCGCGTGTCCGTGTGGGCCAACTTCTCTAATTCAGATGGATTTAATTTGATACGAGAAGATCGCATGGGGGCAATGAGGTGAGCATGAAGGAGTCCAGCCACCGGCGACATGCGACGCACTGGAACACCGATGTGAGCAGCGTGTCTGGCTGAGCAGAGCTCCGCCACCGTCCGGGCAGTGCTCCTCCTCCATGATTCCTGGGTCTCTGGCATAAATGGCACCACCAGATGGCCGCGCTCGTCGCGCCCTTGTCCTTGACCTCCGCGACTTCGGCGACTCCGGCGCCCCAGCGGACCCTACCATCTACGTTGTCTTGCTCCCCGACAACCTCCACGATGCGATGGGCTCTCTGCATCACAAGGTACCAAGTGTCATGCCATCTCCTGTGTCTTTCAGCATACGTTCTTCTTCTTCTTTTGAAAGGAGCATGTGTTCTTCTTGTTTTTCAGTTAATAATGGGTATTGAGTTTTGTGAATGAGAGTTGACACAACCAATCGAATAAAATGTGAGCTAGTAGTTTGGAGCAGATGGTTATTCGAGGGGGCTAGTTAGTTGAATGAGACTTTCAATCTAAATGACATGGAGAATGTTGTACCACTGCAGCATGGCTGGTTCTCACGTCAATGCTAGAGATGACTCCAACCGATGCAGATGCTAGGATGTCGATAGTGGCTGCATCAAAATAGGCATGGATGGAGGCAAACGGCACCAACACATATGCCGCATAGCAATAGCGCTCGACGACATCCTTTGCGAAAGAGAGACTAGTGTGGACCGTCATCTTGGAGAGGACGTCATATGCAAGCGCAACGTGCACCTGGTCGAAGGAGAGACCAGCGCCGAAGTTGGCCCACACAGACACATGGCGGTCTATTATTGGCCCTACTCATTATTTCCTGCAGGGATCCCTGCAGGTGAGCCGAACCCCCATCATCAGGGTGATGCATGCAGCCATATATTATTAAAGTTGGCGTATCATTTTTGTCAACATAGTAATCGTATTTCGAATCCATAGTATATTTATTAGCTGGCTCGAATGAATTACAGGCACGCATGATTTCCTGAGTGCCATGCCGATTGAACCCATTCCAAACCCTAGCAAAATCTTCGCCACGCCTAGACCAAGTGGTCGAAATGACCCACTTGGATGGCCCGCCCAACAAGCGGTGAAACGACGATGTGCTAAAGCGACTCATCAATCAGGGAAACCTAAGCATGTCTGGACGCCTGGATGCAGCTTGCACGCACGTGCGGATTAAAAAACAGGAAGAGGATGCTCACTCGCACTATCAAGGGATCGATTGAGCTGAGCACCTGCCCTTTGTAGAGGTCATCGTTGATGATGTCCTGGGTCAACCAGGAGAGCACAATGTCGCCCAAATCCATCTCCCCCGCATCAAGGGTGACGCCTAGCTCGACGTGTGATGAAATATGAGTTTTTATTTGTTGAACTATATAATTTGTATTGAACTATTTGTTGTTGAACTATTTGATTGCTATAAATTTTCTGTGATGAACTATGTGATAAAAAAATTACTTATTATGTTGAGAATTCAAGCCCCCAGCGCCGATTATACCACCGGCTCGCGCCAATATCAGGCCGATTTGCGCCGATATCAGGCCATTTTTCACCAAAAGTGGGCCAAAAAGCGGGCGCATTTGCGCCAAAAATGTGCCGATATCGGTGCCTAGGGGCGACGGGTGGGTGCCCAACGGCCCCCAGTGCCGATTATAACACCGGCTCGCCCCCAGGCAACGATTTTTATGCCTCCTGGAGGAGCCAACGGCTGGAGATTCTCTAAGAGACCAACTGTACGGCCAAATCCAGAGGTGAGGCTCTTGGCTACCATATGACATGTCTCTAGCATTTTAACTTCTAAGTAAATTAATACAACTAAATGGCATCATAATATTAGGTGGCATTACTTATAGACCTAACATCTCCCAACATTCTTTCAGAACTTAATATCTCATAATAGTGTTATCCAAAGTATTCTGAAACACCGGTATATTTGGAAGAATTTTTTTTAAAATGGAGGATAACCTCGACCTCGGGTTCGGCTCACCTGTAGGAAATACTGTGCAGGGCCAATATTAGACCACCACGTGTCCGTGTGGGCCAACTTCTCTAATTAAGATGGATTTAATTTGATACGAGAAGATCACACGGGGTCAATGAGGCGAGCATGAAGGAGTCCAGCCATCGGCGACATGCGATGCATTGGAACACCGACGTGAGCAGCGTGTCCGGCTAAGCAGAGCTCCGCCACCGTCCGGGCAGTGCTCCTCCTCCATGATTCCTGGGTCTCTGGCATAGTGGCACCACCAGATGGCCGCGCTCGTCGCGCCCTTATCACTGACCTCCGCGACTTCGGCGACTCTAGCGCCCCAGCGGACCCTGCCATCTACGTTGTCTTGCTCCCCAACAACCTCCACGATGCGATGGGCTCTCTGCATCACACGGTACCAAGTGTCATGCCATCTCCTGTGTCTTTCAGCATACGTTCTTCTTGTTTTTCAGTTAATAATGGGAATTGAGTTTTGTGAATGAGAGTTGACACAACCAATCGAATAAAATGTGAGCAAGTAGTTTGGAGTAGATGGTTATTCGAGGGGGCTAGTTAGTTGAATGAGCCTTTCAATCTCGATGACATGGAGAACATTGTACCATTGCAGCATGGCTGGTTCTCACGTCAACGCTGGAGATGACTCCTACCGATGCATATGCTAGGATGTCGATAGTGGTTGCATCAAAATCGGCATGGATGGAGGCAAACGACACCAACACATATGCCGCATAGCAACAGCGCTCGACGACATCCTTTGTGAAAGAGAGACTAGTGTGGACCGTCATCTTGGCGAGGACGTAATATGCAAGCGCAACATGCACCTGGTCGAAGGAGAGACCAGCACCGAAGTTGGCCCACACGGACACATGGCGGTCTATTATTGGCCCTACTCAGTATTTCCTGCAGGGATCCCTGTAGGTGAGCCGAACCCCCATCATCAGGGTGATGCATGCAGCCATATATTATTAAAGTTTGCGTATCATTTTTGTCAACATAGTCCTCGTATTCCGAATCCATAGTATATTTATTAGCTGGCTCGAATGAATTACAGGCACGCGTGATTTCCTGAGTGCCATGCCGATTGAACCCATTCCAAACCCTAGCAAAATCTTCACCACGCCCAGACCAAGCAGTCGAAATGACCCACTTGGATGGCCCGCCCAACAAGCGGTGAAACGACGATGTGCTACAAGCGACTCATCAATCAGGGAAACCTCAGCATGTCTGGACGCCTGGATGCAGCTTGCATGCACGCGCGGATTAAAAAACAGGAAGAGGATGCTCACTCGCACTATCAAGGGATCGATTGAGCTGAGCACCTTCCCTTTGTAGAGGTCATCGTTGATGATGTCCTGGGTCGACCAGGAGAGCACAATGTCGCCCAAATATATCTCCCCCGCATCAAGGGTGACGCCTAGCTCGACGTGTGATAAAATATGAGTTTTATTTGTTTAACTATATAATTTGTATTGAACTATTTGTTGTTGAACTATTTGATTGCTATAAATTTTCTGTGATGAACTATGTGATAAAAAAATTACTTATTATGTTCAGAATTCAAGCCCCCAGCGCCGATTATACCACCGGCTCGCGCCAATATCGGGCCGATTTACGCCGATATCAGGCCATTTTTCACCAAAAGTGGGCCGAAAAGCGGGCACATTTGCGCCAAAAATGTGCCGATATCGGTGCCTGGGGGCGACGGGTGGGTACCCAACCACCCCCAGTGCCGATTATAACATCGGCTCACCCCCAGGCAACGATTTTTATGCCTCCTGGAGGAGCCAACGACTGGAGATGCTCTAAGAGACCAACTGTGCGGCCAAATACAAAGCTGAGGCTCTTGGCTACCATATGACATGTCTCTAGCATTTTAACTTCTGAGTAAATTAATACAACTAAATGGCATCATAATATTAGGTGGCATTACTTACAGACCTAACATCTCCCAACATTCTTTCAGAACTTAATATCTCATAATAGTGTTATCTAAAGTATTCTGAAACACCGGTATATTTGGAAGATTTTTTTAAAAAAGGAGGATAACCCCGACCTCGGGTTTGGCTCACCTGCAGGAAATACTGTGCAGGGCCAATATTAGACCACCACGTGTCCGTGTGGGCCAACTTCTCTAATTAAGATGGATTTAATTTGATACAAGAAGATCGCACGGGGGCAATGAGGCGAGCATGAAGGAGTCCAGCCACCGGTGACATGCGACGCACTGGAACACCGACGTGAGCAGCGTGTCCGGCTGAGCAGAGCTCCGCCACCGTCCGGGCAGTGCTCCTCCTCCATGATTCCTGGGTCTCTGGCATAGTGGCGCCACCAGATGGCCGCGCTCGTTGCGCCCTGGTCCCTACCCTCCGCGACTTCGGTGACTCCAGTGCCCCAGTGGACCCTGCCATCTATGTTGTCTTGCTCCCCGACAACCTCCACGATGCGATGGGCTCTCTGCATCACACGATACCAAGTGTCATGCCATCTCCTGTGTTTTCAGCATACGTTCTTCTTCTTCTTTTGAAAGGAGCATGTGTTCTTCTTGTTTTTCAGTTAATAATGGGAATTGAGTTTTGTGAATGAGAGTTGACACAACCAATCGAATAAAATGTGAGCAAGTAGTTTGGAGCAGATGGTTATTCTAGGGGGCTAGTTAGTTGAATGAGCCTTTCAATCTCGATGACATGGAGAACGTTGTACCACTGCAGCATGGCTGGTTCTCATGTCAATGCTGGAGATGACTCCAACCGATGCATATGCTAGGATGTCAATAGTGGCTGCATCAAAATAGGCATGGATGGAGGCAAACGGCACCAACACATATGCCGCATAGCAACAGCTCTCGATGACATCCTTTGCGAAAGAGAGACTAGTGTGGACCGTCATCTTGGCGAGGACGTCATATGCAAGCGCAACGTGCACCTGGTCGAAGGAGAGACCAGCGCCGAAGTTGGCCCACCCGGACACACGGCGGTCTATTATTGGCCCTACTCATTATTTCCTGCAGGGATCCCTGCAGGTGAGCCGAACCCCCATCATCAGGGTGATGCATGCAGCCATATATTATTAAAGTTGGCGTATCATTTTTGTCAACATAGTCATCGTATTCTGAATCCATAGTATATTTATTAGCTGGCTCGAATGAATTACAGGGACGCGTGATTTCCTGAGTGCCATCCCGATTGAACCCATTCCAAACCCTACAAAATCTTTGCCACGCCCAGACCAAGTGGTCGAAATGACCCACTTGGATGGCCCGCCCAACAAGCGGTGAAACAACGATGTGCTACAAGCGAATCATCAATCAGGGAAACCTAAGCATGTCTGGACACCTGGATGCAGCTCGCACGCACGCACGGATTAAAAAACAGGAAGAGGATGCTCACTCGCACTATCAAGGGATCGATTGAGCTGAGCACCTGCCCTTTGTAGAGGTCATCGTTGATGATGTCCTGGGTCGACCAGGAGAGCACAATGTCGCCCAAATATATCTCCCCCGCATCAAGGGTGACGCCTAGCTCGACTTGTGATGAAATATGAGTTTTATTTGTTGAACTATATAATTTGTATTGAACTATTTGTTGTTGAACTATTTGTTGAACTATTTGATTGCTATAAATTTTCTGTGATGAACTATGTGATAAAAAAATTACTTATTATGTTGAGAATTCAAGCCCCCAGCGCCGATTATACCACCAGCTCGCGCCGATATCGGGCCGATTTGCGCCGATATCAGGCCATTTTTCACCAAAAGTGGGCCAAAAAGCGGGCACATTTGCGCCAAAAATGTGCCGATATCGGTGCCTGGGGGCGACGGGTGGGTGCCCAACCGCCCCCAGCACCGATTATAACACCGGCTCGCCCCCAGGCAACGATTTTTATGCCTCCTGGAGGAGCCAACGGCTGGAGATGCTCTAAGAGACCAACTGTGCGGCCAAATCCAGAGCTGAGGCTCTTGGGTACCATATGACATGTCTCTAGCATTTTAACTTCTAAGTAAATTAATACAACTAAATGGCATCATAATATTAGGTGGCATTACTTATAGACCTAACATCTCCCAACATTCTTTCAGAACTTAATATCTCATAATAGTGTTATCTAAAGTATTCTGAAACACCGGTTTATTTGGAAGAATTTTTTTTAAAAAGGAGGATAACCCCGACCTCGGGTTCGGCTCACCTGCAGGAAATACTGTGCAGGGCCAATATTAGACCACCACGTGTCCGTGTGGGCCAACTTCTCTAATTAAGATGGATTTAATTTGATACGAGAAGATCGCACGGGGTCAATGAGGCGAGCATGAAGGAGTCCAGC